GTCTCAGCCCTGGCAGCGTGCTTCCTCACTTTCTCTCTCTCTCTCTCTCTCCCTCTCTCTCTCCCTCCCCCGCCCTCTCTCTCTGGGGAGCATGTGTGCCCTATAGCAAATTTTAAAATAATAATAATAATAAATATAGTATAGTAAATAATTCTTTTTAAAAAAAAAAAAAAAGTATGTTTTGGGGAAGACTTACATACAAAGTGTTGGGTAAAGAACTTCCTCATAGGGGAAAACACCGGAATTCCAGCGTTCCCTGACTCTCCCTGAACACCCTTCCTCCATCTAAGGAGGGTCCTGAGTGCCAGTGCTCCATCTGTGCCCTGAAGCCAGTTTGACGGACTCTTATCTAGACCTCGTCTCCTGTCATTCTTTTCAGAACATTGCTGTCTCGTTTGTCTGGCTCCATCCAACTATTTTTAATTCTCTCACAGCCCCACTGTCGGCTGAGTGGATAATTAAGCATTAAGTCCTGTTCTTCGTTGAGATCATGTATTTTAAAATGACTTGCCACAGAGAACTGAATGGCAACTTTGAAAGACAGGCTTTGAAAAGGAGGCCACGAAACCCCTGCAAAGTTTCGATTTTGATGACAGAACCCAGGCACAAGCACATCCAGCTGTCTTCCCGCTGAGGAAGTTACAGGTTGTAGAGACCGTTGGTTGTTGGTTTCTCTGCTCCAGGGCTTAAGAGTGTAGATGCCAGAGTTGACTACTTGGGTCTTTGCTACTTACATGCTCTATGATATTGTGCAAATGTTTTACTATCTTTTAATTTTTTGTAAAACAAAGACAATAGGGCCAGCAGATGGCATGGCTCTTGGGGCACTGGGCTCCCACATGGCTAATTGCAGTTCGAGTCCCAGACCTGGTGGCTTGCTTTCTCACTTTCCTACTCTCTCTCTCTGCTTCTCTCTGGTGAGTATCCATGCTATGTGGCAAGTTAAAGGAAAAATGGTAATAATAAATAAAATTAAATAGATCATTTTTTAAAGAAGAAAAAAATAGAGACAGTGACAGCTTAGGGACCAGGCAGTGGAAACACAACTGGTCCTACTTGGGAAGGTCGCAGGTTCTGAAATCTGGGCCTCCCTGTACATTCCAGGTACACATGTGTCCGTGATCCAGCCTGGCCGAGACTGGGCATGAGTTGCCATGTGAGGACCGTGTTGGGGATGTCTGTTCTGTCTATCTGTCTGTTTCTCTCTTACTAAATAAACACAAATAATAGTACCTAGCTCACAGGGTTGGGACTGAATCCAAGAACTACTGCACACCTGGCACGGGAAAACGTTCACTACGTGCTGTTAGTGAACCGTTCATGAAAGGTTAAACAGACGTGCTTGTTCAGGTTTGCATAAAGAGGTCTTCTCGGAGCCCCTGTGTAAACCACCCTGCATGGAGCCTGCTGGCCCTGAGCTCTGTTCCCGTTTTCTTTTCCCTGTGTCAGCCAGTCCTGGGAGGAGTGCAGGAGCTGCCCAGAGTGCATGGCTACTGCTCTCTGATCCTGTGCGGATGAGACTTCCAGGCCCCTGGACTGACTGGACCCCTGGTGCTTTCACTCAGGTGCTGGAAAGCTTCAAGATCATGGACTACAGCCTTTTGCTGGGAATCCACATCTTGGACCATTCCCTCAAAGAGAAAGAAGAGGAGACCTCACAAAATGTGTCTGATGCTAAGCGGCCCGGGATGCAGAAAGTCCTCTACTCGACAGCCATGGAATCCATTCAGGGGCCAGGGAAACCTGGAGATGGGGTCATCACAGAGAACCCGGACACGTAAGTGCAGTGTCACATGCGCCCACCCTCCTGAGGGGGCAGCCCACGACATTAGGTAATTAGTTACACGTGACCACATCCCCCTCCCAGGGCATTGGAAATGGGCTCCTACTTGGTGCTAAAATGGACTAAGCCGGCCTTCATTTCTCTTCCTCTGTGGGTAACTTAGATAAGTGGCAGTTTCCTGAGTTATTACCATTATATTTATCTACATGGTTTTTATTTTTCAAATGGTTTCAGTTTTTAACAGTGGTTGAAAATATCCTGCCCCACCCCAGCCCATTTACTACCTATTCAAAACAGCCACCACAAAAGGGAGGGATGAACTTTGAGTGTGAACAAACTTGCATTTAAGCAAATACACAATAGCGTTGATGTTCGCAATTCAGAGCTTTTCATCTGCTTTATGGGGTTCTGCCGTTCTCATCCTGCACCCTGGCAGATGTGGTCTCATGCCTCAACCAGATGTGGTAATAACTGCAGGATTAATTTGCATGTGTAAACTGCATACTGACTAACAGAAACAATTACAATCAAAGACAATTATTGAAGTGGTTGACTGTCACGTGTATGTGCTAGCTGAGCAAGGAGCCAGGAAGGAAGACGTTTGCATGACGGTAAGTGCCTACCTTCTACAGTGATCTAACAATGACTAAGCCATAGGCCTATTCCACTTTTATAAAGGAAATTAACATGTATTTTTTTTAACCATCACTTGCAAATCCATCGAAATTCCCAATAATCAGTTAAACAGATTTTCTGTACCAATATGCTGAAATACTACACAGCAATTAAAAAATATGTTAGTGGGGTTAGCAGATGGTATGGTGGTTAGAGCACTGGACTCCTATGTGGCTGACCATGGTCCAAGTCCTGGACCCAGTAACTTGAAAATCATGCCAGGCACATGTACGTGCATGCCCAGCATCCCAAGAGGAGAATGGAGAAGGGGTTACAGTGTGCCCACCCACCCCCCGGGGGTGATTTCTCACTTTCTCTCTGTCTGTTGAGCGCACATGCCCAATGATAAAAACCTAAAAAAAAAAAAAATCATGAAATGCTTCATTATAGAAAGGAAAACATTCAGATTCCAAAACATGATAAATTAAATACTCGCCTCTAGGGATCAATAAGCATGCACACACACATACACATATATATACATACACACATAAATACCAGAAAAGTGTAGCAAAAAAAATTTTTAAGGTTTTTGCCATAGGGCATGTATGCATGCCAAAGAGCGTCAGTGAGAGGGAAAGTGAGAAATCGCTCCCCATGGGAGATGGCCATGCCGTCTCCGTATTCTCCTCCTGGGATTTTGGACATGCACACACATGCACACAACATGATTTTCAAGCTGGCAGGTCCAGGACTTGAACCATGATTGGCCATGTGGGAGTCCAGTGCCTTAACCATCATGCTATCTTCTGGCCCCAAGTATATCAAATATTAATAGTTATCTTTGCATCCCAGGAATGGATTTTTTAATATATTTTTTTCTTTATGCTTTTCTATATCTTATTTTAAAGTCTAACAGTATACATATTGGGTTGTTGGAAAAATCATGACATATTTTTCTATGCAAAAATACATCATGACTTTTCTAACAACCCAATGTATTACTCTCTCCATCAGAAACAAAAAAACGTATTGCATTTTAAAAATGCAATATTTTACTATACTCTAAAAATTCATGCTCATAGTTTTAGTAGGAATAAGTTTTACATTGGATGCTTCCCATCTAACACTTCAGAATTGACAATGATATTATTCTCCTTTGTGGGGAAGTACACCTTTATAGATTCCCAGGAAGATTTCAACTAATGCCAAAAGAAAAATAAAATGATGAAGGGAGAGATAGCCCAGAATTCTTATAAACTCTCTTTTTATTTTCAGTCTATTTATTAGAAATGATTTTTAGCTTCCTATTCTTACATAATAAAATATTTTCTCATTTGCTTTATCAACAGAATGGGAGGCATTCCAGCTAAAAGCCATAAAGGTGAAAAACTACTTTTATTTATGGGCATTATTGACATTCTACAATCATATAGGTAAGACATTTGGGAAAGTGGTCTTTTTTATTTCAAAATTAATCCACAAAATTTTCAGAGAATTGCCAAATGGGAATGATTTTACATTCTCATTTTTATTTTTCTGTCTCTTTATACTTAGGTTAATGAAGAAGTTAGAACATTCCTGGAAAGCTCTTGTTTATGATGGGGTAAGGCATTTATGTTCCTTGTTAAACTGTATACATTTCTAATTCCCCAGAAACGTGAGAGTAGGTCTAGAAAACCATGTCACTAGGCTTTCAGAGGAGAAGAAACAAAGGTCTTTATGAACTCAGTATCTTTGGCTAGCAGATGGCTTTAAATATGAGAACAGTGACAACATAAATGTGAATTTCTGTGCAATTAGATGACATCTGGCCTGGAGGCTAGGTTGAGGCCAGGAAAACACAATGATATCTTTTTTCTATATGAAATCTCCAAGACCCCATTAGGAGATAATGACAAGGGGGGGAAAAAAGGAAACTTTTCCCATAGGCACTGAGAAGACCAGTAGGACAGCTGGAAGGAGTTTTCACAAGACCACGTTTCTGAGGGATATGAGCCTTGACTTTGAAGGTTGACTGCCCTGGATCTGAACCCTGGGTTCTCCCCCTTGACTGGCCATGTAATCGTAGCCCAATTTCTCCTCTGTACCAGGGAGTCATGGTACCTGTCTGGTGTGAAGATGAAACAAAAGGATGTTTGCTCTTACTCAATGATGCCTAACACATATATCACAAGGACATGTAAAGTGGAAACTTTAAGGTTTTAAATTTTACTTGTTATGGATTTATGCATGCTGCCTGATAGGATATTTTAACTGACATAACTAGAGGAGAAAAGTCCGTTATCAAAGAGCAGTCTCTCCCCCTGCCTCTGTCTTGTGCACACAGACATAATCCCATCTAGATGTTAGATTTGAACTCCTCATTGCTGAGAGAATATTTGTCCTAAGCCTCCCTTAGTTAATGACTAGAAATGGCATTTCCAAAAAATATACTGATCAGAGATGTTGTCATTTGTTTCCTTTTAAGATATTAACACATACTTTCCTTTGAAAGAGGATAAATTATAAATGGCATTCCTCCTTTCTTGGAAAAGAACGCACACCTTCTCCGTTCTGTGAGAGAGTTAATAACCTTTCAGCGTCAAAGAGCTGCACTTTATCCACAGGCTAACCACTGACCTGACAGAACGTACTTGTAGGTAACTGGTTCACAGATTTGCTTCTAAGAATTAACCTCGGTCACATTCAGATCAAACATTCCTCCCATGAAAGGAAGATAGGGGAATTTCATTTTTCCTTCCAGCTAAGAAAGGTAGGAACTACCTAGCACCTCGAACACGGAAGGGGGAGAGAATTAACACCTATTTCATTCCCCTTCTGTGTTCTGAGACAATTTCCATTCTCTGTTACCAGATTGGATGTCTGATCTGATTGGCTCGTCTTGTATTGGCCAGATGCTTCTAAGGTTCTTACAATTTTGTCCATTTTAAAACATATCTTCTGTTTTTTAGTTTGTTGGGTTGTTTTATAGAAAATCTCTGTTGATTGTTTTCACTTTAATTTGTGAAAATATAAGTGATAATTAAGATATTTTGGCTTGTTTACAGACATGGCTCTTATTTAAACAATATTTCTTCATACAAAAAAAAAAAAACTGTCACTTTTCTCTAAAGGCAAGGATTGAGTCTTAATCACCTCTGGATCCCTTGAGGCTCTTGTACCCTACCAATATTTCTTAATTACCTACTTGCTGCAAAAATGTGTCCACTTGAAACAGAAGCTACAAGGGTATATATTTTAACATCTGAAGCCTGGAGCCAACAGGTGGCATGATGATTAAGGCACTAGACTCCCACATGACTGACTGTGGTTCAGGTCCCAGACCTGGTGACTTGAAAATCACACCAAGAATATGTGCATGCATGCCCATGATCCCAGGAGGAAAAATGGAGAAAAAGGAATTGCACTATGGCTATCCCCTCTAGGTTGTGATTTCTCACTTTCCATCTCACTGTCTCTCCCTCTCTGGAGAGTACATGTGCCCTTTGGCAAAAACTTAAAAAAATGAATGAATAAATAAGTAAATAAATAAAGTTTAGCCTTACTGAGAGCAGTCCTCAACCTTTTTTGCACCAGGAACTGGTTTCATGGAAGACAAATTTCCCATGAACCCAGAGGAGGGTGTGAGGGTGGGGGGATGTTTTCTGAAAGCACACAACCTCGATCCCTTATGTGTGCAATTCACAATAGGGCTCATGCTCCTATGAGAACCCGATGCCACCTGCCACCGTTGATTTGACAGGGAGCAGAGCTGCCTGCAATGCAAGCAATGGGGTGTGGCTGTACATGTAGTTGGAGCTTTGTTTGTGCTTGCTTATCCCCTCCTGCTGTGTGCCCCACTGCCCCACCGCTCCCCTCCTGCTGTGTGGCCTGGTTCCTAACAGGCCTCAGAGCAGTACTGGTTCATGCCCGAGGGCTTGGGGACTGCTGCTCTAGAGGACCATTGTATGGTGGCTGGAGAGATATCCCGTGTGCTGTGTCCTAGTGATCGTGCCAGCTCAGAGGCAATGTGTGCCTCCTTCAATACCCCGTTTCACAGATGAAGAAACTGAGTGCTGAGACTGGCTTTTCCCAGGATCATGCAGCCACTTAACGTCAGCACTATATCAGAAGCAAGTCCCCTGACTAATGGTCCAAGAATGTTTTTCCTTCCAGCCCCACTGCAGACACTTTGTAGTACCTAAACTTAATTTTAGAAATTTCCCTATTGGAATCCATGAATCTGGATTCAAAATGGAGCAGTGTATAAGCAACTGTATTAATACTACTTCTAGATAGGTACAGCTTGGATCGTAAATAAATGATTATTAAATAAAGACAGAGAATTAGCTTCTCCACCCATCTCCTTTCCTGGATTCGTAATAAAATAGCCCTTCAGTCTTAGACTCTTGCCAAGGATGAGAGAAGAATTGAGTTAACAAGGTAATTCAATTCAGCTCTGTGTAATCAGTAGCTAATTCCATGTAACAGGGGCCATCTGTTGGCTCTGTCTCCTAGGAATCTTCCTGGTGTCTGTGCACCTTATTACTTGGAGATGAAACCAGAGCACCTTTTAACTTAAATGTCACTCTTACATTAGGGTTGTTTTGTTTGTATATGTCCCAAATTTTTGTCCATGATTAAGATGTTTGTTCATTAAGATTATTAGTTGATGCCATAATGATATGTAACAGTGTAATCTATCATTCCAGATGATCCACGTGTAGCTGCATGTGAAAAAATAACTTAAAAGCCCCTCCTGGGATGGTCTTATAAGGGTCAGCATTTTGATTCATGCAGGAGTGTTTTGTTTTTTTAATGTTCTATTTTTATTTTATTTTATTTTTTTTTTTAGGTTTTTGCCATAGGGCACTTGTGTTTACCAGAGAGACAGTGAGAGGGAAAATGAGAAATCACCCCCAAAAGGTAGTGGCTAAGCCCCAATCTCTTCTCCTCCATTCCCCCAAGATGTTTTTTTTTTTAAGATATTTTTGCTGTTGGGCTACTACATTCACTGGAGAGACAGAGAGAGACAGGGAGACAAAAGGTGAAAAATCACCCTCCAGGGGGGATGACCGTGCCACAGTCCCTTCTCCTCCATTCTCGTCTTGGGATTTGGGGCACACACACACACAGGCCCAGCATGAGTTTTAAGCCACGAGGCCCAGAACTCGAACTTCTGTCCTCTCTGTGGGAGTCTAGCAATGTGACCCATGCCATCTGCTGGTCCCTCGTGTAGCAGTGTTTTACTGTCTCTCCCCTGCTCCCGTAATGCTCCCTTTCACCTGGAGCATCTAGAAGCTTTGTTCTGATTAAGTCCATGCCCTCCTTCCTCAGCTCCAGACTCCTGGACCCCATGGGAGACAGGACTTTGCTGTTCTGACTCTTCCATTCACACCTGATGGTTAAGGTCCTTGGCTAGCAGGAAGCCGGTCACGAGACCTTTCTTCCGACTCCAGATCAGCTCTCTAACAGGTCACACTGTGCTCCTTGCTTTTGTCTTCTCAGGACACTGTTTCAGTGCACAGACCAAGTTTTTATGCAGACAGATTCCTTAAGTTTATGAATTCCAGAGTTTTCAAGAAAATACAAGGTAAGATCTTTACGAAATTTTTAAGACTTTTTACACTGAGTTGCTGAGTTCACTATGTATCTTTGCAAGATTTTTACTAGAAGAGTTGAAGCTACTGTGGTAGTCACTTAGTAATTATGGTTAAGATTCCTGGGCAGGTATTTGTTGATGCCTTAATGATTCGAGTCCTATTTTGTGCTGAAAAAAAAAAAAATGAGAAGCTGTCTAAAAGTCCAACTACATAATACAACCACATAATATATTGGTTGATATAGTATGATACAGTCAAATAATAGAATAGTAAGCCAATAAAAAGATGTATTAGAGGTACATTTGGTTCTTTAAATATAGATTTATGCATGTATATGAAGTTATCAGTCTATATACTTTAACTGCATAGCAGAATTCTAATAGTATCTATGTAATTAAAAACAGTATTGATTTTCATGAAATATTCTACAGGGTAGACCATATACTAGGTTATAAAACAAGTATTAATACATTTTTCAAAATTGAAGTCATTAATCAAGAACAAACACTGGGAAAATGTACACATAGAGCCAACAGGTGGCATGGTGGTTAAAGCATGGGACTCCTACATGGCTGACCACAGTTCAGGTCCCAGTCCGGGCAGCTTAAAAATCACACCAGCCATGTTTGCATTGCATGCCCAAAGTCCCAGGAGGAGAATGGAGAAGGGATTGCAGCATGGCCATCCTCCTGGGAGATGATTCCTCACTTTCCCTCTCTGTCTCTGTCTGGCCAGCACATGCACCCTATGGCAAAAACTTTTTTTAAAAAAATTCACACATATGTGAAAATTCAACAGCACACTCTTAAACAACTGGGTTAAAGAAGAACTCACAGGAAAATTACAGAAGACTCAGAGGTGAATGAAAATGAAAACATGTGTTACAAATGTCTGGAAAGCTATGAAGACAGTACTCAGAGGAAAATTTATAGCTGTAAATGCCTATGTTTAAAAAAGAAAAAGTTCAAACAAATACCCTAACGTTAAACCTTGAGTAATTAGAAAAAGAAAGGCAAATTAGGGCCATGCCATAGCCTCATGGTTAAAGAAGCTGGATCCCACTTGGCCAGCTGGACAGTCTGAGGCCCAGACCCAGCAGCTTGAAAAGCACATAGGCATGTGTACCCGAAATCCCAAAGGAAGAAGAAGCAGAGAAAAGATTGCAACGGGACCAAAGGAATTGGACATTTTTCATGATCTAATGTACTATATATTTTACCTATTCATCTTATAGTGTTTTCTGAATTTGCCTTATTTATTTTGTCTAATGCTTACCTCTTCCATTTGAATATAAGCTTACTGCTGTGTCCCCAGCCCCTAGTATAAGCAGGTGCACCTAGTGTGTGTAAGCATGTGTAGGAAAGATGCCATGGCATGCATGCTGGTTCCGCCTGTCCAGGACAGATCTGCCTAGAGATGACCTTGCCTTGAGGCAGTATTAGCCTTCGTCCTCACTTCTGACCCCATGCCTCAGCCTTCAATCTGTTCATTCGCTTGTGTCTTAAAAACCTCCTCGCCTCTGCATCTCTGTCCAGTTCCTGGTGTATCTTTGTCCTCCTCACAGTCACCCTGTTTGTCACTTTCATCTTGTCGACTCCAGTTGGCTTTTGGCCTCACCACTCTACTGAAATGTTCTTTTCGAGGTCACCAATGACCGTTGCTTAAGTCACTGAATAATGTTCAGTCTTTTCTTAAAACTGCAGTGTTTGAGACCACTGGGGTCAGTTCTCTGTGAAATAGTCTCTGCCCTTGTCTTCCGTAGCCTAGGACTCTCCTGGTTCCCCTCTGGCCTCTCCTGCTCCTTTCAGGGGTCCTTTGGCGCTCATCAATCTCTGCCTTATTCTAATGGTGGGTGTTCACCGGGTCCAGTATCTAACTGTGCCTACTTCCTGTGTCCAACTCTCTCTGGGTATTTCCCAACCTGCCAAGGTCAATGACCATCTGTATACTTATACTTACTCACGACACCTCTGACACCTCTCCTTGTATATCCAGCCTCCCCACTTAGGTGTCTACCAGATTCCATCATGGCCACACTGGAATCTGACCACTCCCCATACCAGATCCTGCCTTTCTCTTCTGATCCACATCTCACTAAAGGCCACCACACTCTCCCCAACTACCCAAACCAGGACATCACCCTTTGACCCCTTCCTTGTGCTTACTCTCACATGCAGACACACACCAACACTTGTGGACTCTTAACTCTTCAAGGTCAGGAGGCTAGCCCCTTCCCTCACAGTGCCACGCCTGACTCAGCCATTGTGGATTTTGGTTTTGAGTTTTTATTTTAGCATAAAGTTGTACACTCCCCTCACCCGAGTCTCTTTACCTTCAGTTTAATTACGTCCCTAGCCATTCAGTTTTTGCACACTGCAGCCAGAGAAACCAGTTCAAAATATAAACATGGAGACCCACAGATGGCATAATGGCTATGTCACTGGACTCCCACGTAGTCAACCACAGTTTGAGTCCTGGACTCGGTGGCTTAAAATTGTGCCAGGCGCATGTGCGTGCGTGCCCAAGATCCCGAGAGAAGAATGGAGGAGAAGAGATTGTGGTGTGGCCATCCTCCCAGGGGTTGATTTCTTGCTTTCTGTCTCTCTGTCTGTGTCTTTCTGGTGAGTGCATGTACCCTATAGCAAAAACTTCTCCAAAAAAATAATAAAATAAAATATAAATACACACACACACACACACACATATGTTCTTGCTCATTTTCTGTTAAAACCCTTCCATACTATTTTTAAAAATCTAATAGTTATAAATTAACATTTTTTTTTCATGAGTTCCCTGATGCACACTCCTTAACTTAGCTTCTGAGGCCCTCTGCGATGGGCCTCTCCTATCCTCAATACCCTCTCTCCCATCCCGCTCTATACCACACCCTCTCTTCCTGGCTCCAGCACCTCTGAACTCCTTGTGGTTACCCCAGATAGTCAGAGCTGTCTTCAGATGTCTATGCATGCTGGTCCCTTTGCACACAGCACTCTTCCCACCATTTCCTCCAAGTCTCAGGTTGACTGGTGCCCTCCACAGTAGTTACCACTCTGTGCTATAATGAGCTGTTCATGTCCCCCACTAGACTTCAAGGTCCTTCAAAGCAGAGACCATTTGGTTTGCTCATCTATAGTCCCAGCTCTTTCATTTTTCCTGGTTCATAGTAGGCATTCAATCATTGTTTAAAGAATAATGCCATGCTGGGACCAGCAGTTAGCGTAATGGCTATGTCACTGGACTCCCACGTAGGCGACCGCGGTTCGTGTCCCAGACCCGCTGGCTTAAAACTCACGCCAGGCGCGTGTGCCTGTGTGCCCAAGATCCTGAGAGGAGAATCGAGGAGAAGGGATTGCGGCGTGACCATCCCCCCCGGGGGGTGATTTCTCGCTTTCTGTCTCTCTGTCTCTCTCTGTCTGTCTGGCGAGCGCACGCGCCCTACAGTGAAAACCTCTCCAAAAAAAAAAAAAAAGAATAATGCCATGCTAATGAAGCGTTTTCCTCTACCGCCAACATTTCCTTGTTTCTTCTTTCTTTTATTTTATTATTTATTTTTACACTCAATCTCTATACATCTTTATAGGACCTGAAATTATTTTTCCCAGCATGAATACACTGTATATTAGTCCAGTCAAAGATATTACCGTATACATTATCATCAACAGATAATTTTCCGTATTTGTGTCTGTTAAATGTTTTGCTTCTTTTTTCACTTGATTCCCTCCCTCCTACGCGCCTCATTTCCCACCTTCCTCCCACACTGTCTGTAGTATCCTCAATTGCTCTCCAAGTTTTTATATGTTACAGTCTTTCCATTTTTGCCATAGATTGCAGACATTCAGTTTATATTAATCAGGGACATACAATACGTCTCTTTCATAGTCTGGCTTGCTTTGCTTAGCAGTAAATCTTCCACATTTCTCCACTTTCTATTTCAAAGGTAGCAATTTAATTAGTAAAGTTAACAGTTTAAACATAACTCTAGGTGTCTCATCAGGTATAAGTAACTTAAACGTTCTTATGCCTAAAGGCAACTTTCTTCATAAGTGAAGACCCAACTCGACTTCCCTGACTACTGTCTCCCACCCCCAAAATGAGACCCGATCTTCAAGCTTCTTTTTTCAAGTCAGTTTTTTTTTTCTTCTTTAGTTCATGTATCCTATCACTGAATTGAGTTATGTTGCCAATGTAATTATGTCTATAAAATGTTATACTAGCTTCTGGAAATACTAGTCACCATTGCTAAAATCCCATTGAAATTCTCTACCCAAATAATGTATCCAAAGTATTCATGCCTGGTGCAGCCAAGGTAGATGCTGCTACTCAGCAGGCTGAGATCACATGGAGGACCCCAGTCTTGATTCTCTACCCATATTAAAAGCCAGGCACAGTGACAAGCACCTGTATAATTCCACCTCTTCAGGAGGGTAAGGCAGGAGAATTGCAACATAGCAATACCCTTTCTGAAAAAGTTAATAAATGATGGGGCTAGCAGGTGACATGGTGGTTAAGGCACTGGACTCCCACATGGCCAACCACAGTTTGAGTCCCAGACCCAGCAGCTTGAAAATTACACTAGACACATGTACATGTATGCCCAAAATTCTGAGAGGAGAATGGAGGAGAAGAGATTGTAGCATGACCATCCCCCCTGGGGGGGCAGGGTGATTTCTCACTTTCCCTCTCTCTGTCTCTCTCCAGTGAGCACATGTGCTTAAAAAATAATAATAATTAATGCAAATAAAGTACTAATGTTTCATTTCCTGAATAATTTATTTAAAAAACTACCCTAAGATTTCAGAGCAATACTGAATTCATTCAACAAACATTTGTATACCTGTTGTCTACACATACATTTGTAGGTGTACAAACTGTCTCTGGAAGGATACACAAAAAACTGGTAGCATTGGTAGAACAGAATGGCTGGATCCAAACCAGCAAGGAAGGTGGAACAGCCTAGCACCAAGCTAAGCACTGAAAGATCAGCAACATT